TTGGGGGTATCTAGATGGATTTTATAGAGACAGGCCCATCTGTTTTTGGTGTTGATGGGCCCTGAATCCATATTGATGGAGTATTCTTATCTCCGCGTCCAAACAGCCTTCATCTTCTTCTTTAGAAATCGGCGGCAAATTGGAAGTTTTTCCCTTTTGCTTTGGAGATGACGACGGAAACACACGATTTCTCGGCGTTTCCGTACGAGCCTTACTCGATTCAAACCGATTTCATGAATGCGCTCTATCAGTTTCTCGAAAAGGGAGGCGTTTCCATGCTCGAAAGCCCCACCGGTACGCTTCTTTGTCACCCGTGAATCTCTTGACTACAATAGTGGAAGGAAGTTCACTCTTAGGGTTTCTTATCAGGGACTGGAAAATCTCTAAGCATTATCTGCAGTGCTCTACAGTGGCTCATTGACCGAAAGGAGAAAGCAAAATCAGGATTGGCGGAATCCCACACGGTTGATGGTGACGACGAGCCCGATTGGATGAGAGATTTTACTGTCACTGAAAACGAGAAGACCATCAAATCCCCATTTCGGCTCAGGAAACATGCTAAGCAAAGAGTTTTCTCTATTCCCATGGAAGGACGTTCTGATGCAAGAAAGGAAGGTGAGGATTCTGTAGGGAAACATGTGGCTGAGTTAAACAACGATCAAGAGTTTTTGTTGGAAGATTACGAAAGCGATGAGGATTCATCTCCCAAGTCTAAAAGAAAACCCGCTCGAGGTTTTGACAGTTCATCAGAGGATGAGGAAGATGACAAGGAATGCTCCGATGACGAACAAGGACTCAAGGTCTTCTTTTGCAGCCGAACACATTCACAGCTTTCACAATTTGTCAAGGAGCTGAGGAAAACCGCATTTGCCCAAAATATCAAAGTTGTCTGTCTTGGCTCGCGAAAGAACTTGTGTATAAATGAAGGTAATCTCACTATTTCTCCTTCCTAATTTTCTTTCTTTGTCTGGCTCTTACAGTTACAGAGGTCATGTACAGATATTCTTAAGCTTGGGAATGTGGCTCGAATCAACGAGAGGTGCTTGGAGTTGCAAAAGAAGAAGAATTCACAAGTCTCTAAAAGGAAGGTACACATTACTAACTTGGTTGATGGATTCATGTTCTATCTTGTATTGCTGGTAGCGTCTGAATTCTGAATCAAGCCTTCTAACACAACGGAATCTGTGCTTGTTTCGTCATTATGCATGGTCGTTTAGGCAAGTAGAATAAATGAAATGAAGCTAACTAATGGAAGCTTGAACGTTGCAGAATTTAGGTACAAGTGCAAGGATAGGACGAACCAAAGCTTCTTGCAAATGCCCAATGCTTAGAAAACATAAACTACAGAGAGATTTCAAGGCTGAGATTTTTCAACAAGAAGCCATGGACATTGAGGATCTTGTTCAGCTTGGGCGAGAAATGGGAACTTGTCCATACTACGGTTCTAGAAGAATGGCCCCGGCAGCTGATCTTGTTATCCTTCCATATCAGTCTCTTCTTTCAAAGTCCTCACGAGAATCTCTCGGCCTAAACTTGAAAAACAATGTTGTCATCATAGACGAGGCTCACAATTTGGCTGACACTCTTCTCAGTATGAACGATGCAAAGATAACTGTGGCACAGGTAAACTCTCAGTTCTTCTGCTTTTAGAGGACGTGTGTGGTCTTGATGGACTTTTGGGTTGTTAGTCAGCCCTCGTTGCCAGGCCATACACAACTTGTTTGATGAATAGAATTTTGTCGAAGCTGCTTTGCTGATATATTTTACACAGAACTTTTAATCGGGTTGCATTGCAGTTGGAGGATGTACATTGCAGCATAGAGAATTATCTTGGAAGATTTCAGAATCTCTTGGGAGCTGGAAACCGTAGATATATCCAAACGCTGTTGCTTCTCACCCGAGCTCTCCTAAAACCTCTTGCCAGTGACGGGAATCTTAACAGCAGAAATGATGGGCTTGATACAGGAAATCCCTCTAAAAGCAAGCCTTATGGTGGTTGTTCGATGGCAATAAATGACTTTTTATTTTCTCTGAATATAGACAACATTAATTTGTTCAAGTTACTCGCTTATATAAAGGAAAGCAATATCATTCATAAGGTGAAGTGGTTCTTAATA